AGCTTAGAATTTAGTTAACTGCCTTAGAAAAGAGTCCTCTTCAGAAACCGTGGTGCAATTCTCCCAAGCTGATAAGTATTGTTCGCTTTTACTAAGGACTGTAATAAATGTTGCCTTTTAAATGTCTTTGCCCTTTTAGAGCCATCTAAGAATGTCATCCTTTAAGCTAGGTTTTAAAGGAAAATACCAGCAGAGAATACATTTCAAGCATACGTATAGTTGTTCCAGGTGCAAAGACCTAGGCCATCCAGGATTAATCGCTGCCGACGGTTCTTGTGTTTCTTACTCATCTGTAGCAGTCTGTTAGACATCATGATACAGGTGGGACTTTAACTGCTGAGAATAGAGTTGATCCCTGAGCCACATAAGTTTGAACTGCACAGGCTCACGCTTGAGCGGGGTTTTCGTAGTGGGTACAACAGGACCACGTGACTCACAGCAGGCTGAGTCTGCGGGTGCCGCCCCGTGGACACAGAGAAACAGACGACATGGAGACGCTTCATGGATGGAGGGCGGACAGTAAGTTATACGTGGATTTTCAGTGGCCCCAACCCATGTTTTGTTAAAGGCTCAGTGGTGGTTGTAATCATGCCAGGGGCCCTTATGGGGTGAGAAAGGATGAAGGCCAGTGGCAGAAGTGACATCTGATGGCAGGCTAACAGGGCGATAACAGAGTGATGGTCAGAGATGGAGGAGAGAAGCCAGGAGAGAACTGTCACGAGTGGCCAAGGAAGAATTTCAAGAATATCCTTTGCTTCCTGGGTGCTATGAGAAGAGAACTGAAAAGGATCTATTAGATTTGCAATTAGGAGGTCATTGCTGGTCAATGGTCAGTGAAGCAATGGACTCCGGGTTCCACTGGGTTAAAGGTACACTGGAAGTTAATGTATAAAAACAGTTAGTGTGGACTATGAACCCATTATATATAAAAGAAGGGAGAGAGGTGAAAGCTGGAGGAGAACACAATGTTCAGGAAGGACTGTACCTTACAAAGATAAGAGAGCCTGAGGATATTTATAGGCTGTGGGGAAGAAGCCAGTAGACAAAGAATGATTTCAAATATAGTAGAAAGATAACCAGTGAAGTAAGATCCTGGGAAAGGCTGGTGGAAGTGGATCTGGAGGTACAGGATTTGCCTTGAGTAGGATTCCTCTGTTTTGGAGAAAAGCAGATAAAGGTGGTCAAAAATATAAGTGTTTATAAGATAGAGAAGCAGAGAGCTTGATATTTACAAGTTTGACCTTGTAAAATACAAGTTCAAGCTATATGCTATTAAAAATTATTGTTATCAAGTATACCAGCTAGCATGTACGTGCTTACTGTGTGCTTTGAACATTATTAAGAGTTTAAAGAACAGTATTTCATTTAATTTTATCCTACAGTTAGATAACGTGGAAGGTATTATTACTTCTCAATCAAAGAAAATAAGCTTAATGAGTTTTAATTAACCTGCCTAAGGTCATGGAAATTGTGAGTGTCAGAACTAGGCATTTGGACTGAGATGGTTCTAACTCCAGGCACCTGCGCTTGTAACCACTGTTGTCCTGGGGGAGGAGAGTTGAAGACGACTGTGGGCATTTGGCAGAATGGCACAGAGATTAATTATTGTGGACATGTAAAAGCAGCCAGAGCTGGAGACCGTAAGTCTGGGCGGCACACGCCTGCACAGCTGGGGTGGTTGTCCCCGCGAGCAGTTAGCAGTACAAGTGAGTGGTCGTACGAGGGAGAATTAGGGTGCCAATTTTTTAGTTCCAGACCAGATGGATGAGACTATTAGGGCATGGCCTAGCAGAAATTCTGGAATTCTAAGGATAAAGAGAAACCCCTGTGAGATTCCTAACAGAAAATACAGGAAAAGGAAAGAAGAATCAGGCTGGCGTTGGGCTTCTGTAAAACTGGACACTAGAAGACAGAACAGCATCTGCAGAAGACTGGGAGCCAAAGGACCGCAGCCGGAAGTTCCAGCCCCAGGTCTCTGCCTGTCAACGAAAACGGGAGATACTCGGAAACAAGACCTGGAGTCCATCACCCACCTTGAGGAAATACTCGAAAGAAGAGAATATCACAAAGGGATGAGGAAGATAGTGAAAAGGCAGAAAGTCAGGGAACGGTGAAACATGGACACAGTTAAATCTAAAAGAATGGGGAGAGATTCAGGGAATGGGTCATATAAATGCAAAATAAGATTTCTTGAAATAGAAAATACACAGCACAAGATACCTTTAATAAAACTGCAGAACAAAACCTACTAAACTATTTCAATAACATTTAGGATTAACAGGGAGCGTAGGGAGGAAGTGAAACTATTTTAAAAGTCTTGCTGATCTCGAGAATTAGTGCATTTGGTGGGAAGAAGAGAGCCTTTTAAGTTTCTAGCCTATGTAACTAAGCACTAACCCAGATAAATGAAGAGCATATTAAATAAACAGCACCCAGAACATTGTAGGAAAAATACTGTAAGAACATAGAGGAATTGAACCAATAAGTTGAATATAAACACACACTCCTTCCCTCAGAGGATAACTTTTTTTATATCCATGGAACAAGCATAAAAGTCAAACAAGTAATTGGAAAACCTTAAGAAATTAACCTTATCAAATTTTAAGGAAATAAAATAGATTTTACAAATCATATTCTCTGGTCACAAGGCAATAACGTTAGAAATTTGTAAGTGATAACTTAAATTTTAGGTACTTTAAATTTGAGAAACATATTCTTTGACATGACTAAGATTAAAAAAGATTTTTTAAAAAAACTACACATCACCTAGAAAACAATGAAAAATACTCTTTATTCTCAAAGTGTGTATAACCTGTACTCAGGAAAAATTATAGCCTCAAATCCTTCCTTAATTAAAGAAGAAATATGAAAAAATTAAAAGTAATAATTTAAAAATCAAACAACAAAAAAATTAACCAAAGGAAACGAATGAGAAGGAATTAAGGTAAAAGCCCAAATTATGGACCAGAGTATCAAAAAGCAGTGCCTGTAAACTTCTAGGCTGATCTCTGTGCAAAGTCAAGTATCAGTGTGTATGGAAACGGAGGAAGCGTATAAAATTTCTGAAGACACTTTTAGTCCTGGTGATCTATCCCTGCTCCCCATGAGTCATATACCTCCGATTCCTTTCGGGGACTAAGTGGTTAAACTGAGCGGATGGTCAGCTGTTCGGGCTCTGTTGGAGCACAATTGTAAGGCTGGAAGGGATCCTGCAGTCAAGCTACCTCTGGCTGATACTTCTACTCTGATAACAATTTCCTGGGATGGGGATTTGTGAATTTCTGGAATGCTAAATCACTGAGAAAACCTCATTTAGAAAAGACAAGACTCCAAAATATAACTTGATTATAGTTTTACGCATTAATGGGAATTGTAGAACAGTTAATTGTAAATTATTGTATTTATCTTAAGATTCTTAACAATCTTTATTCATCACACTTTTCTGGAAAATCACTCTCATCAATGGCAGTTCTTAACCTCTGAGGCTTAATAGGATAGGCTTGTAGCAAATCTGAAAGTAGTAATTTTATCATTGAATGTTATAAATTTTTGCATAATTTTTGTATTGCTGTTGGTTTTTACCGCGTACCTTAGGTCTTCCCTACCTTTGTGTCTCAGCACTACTGCTGACAGTGATCCTTAAGGACCAGCAGCTGCTGTTTGTTTATTTCTGACTCACTTTGAATCGATGGCCACAGTACATCTGCATAGCTTGGTTTGGGGAGGGGCTGCGGGGAAGGGGGGAGGAGGGGAGGGAGAAGTATTTTTTTGAAAATTTATAAAACCAGACCGTAGTAATAGGATAGACAGTGTCAGTGTCTTCTTTTAGGGCCTTTCCTACTAATTAGAAGGTGAGTTTTGGGAGGGTGCCTGTGTTCTCTACAGAAGAGCAAGTTTATTCAGCATCCTGTCTGGTAAAACGTAGGAAGTGGGGAGAGAGGACGTTAAACACTAGAGAACATCTCCTGTAACACATTTATGTTGGTTTTCAGGCCTTTTTAATTAGTCTGGACCCAGGGAAACAACTAGCTATAATAATAATAGAATCAAATTTGTATTAAATTCTCATTATTCTGCTACTTGGGTTTTTTTGTTGTTATGATTGGAGGGAAGCCATACAAAAGATCCTTTGTAAATTCTGTGAACTGCGTATGGATAATGCCCCAAGATAATGTTGCATCTCTCCGTAATAGCCTTTTTCTTATGCAGTTTTACCCAGCTTTCAATTTATGATAATAGAGCTCAGCTTTCTCCTGACTTAATAGTAAACTGAATTTCCTCTTTCCTTTCAGAGAACAGCTGGAGAAATCATGTTATTTTACTGTTCGTTTTTCTTTTAGTGATATTAGCCTTGGTGGAAAAAGAAGTAGCAGGAAAATGCAGGGTCTGGAGAGCAGAGGGCAGAGTGGCATGGTTCTCACCATCAGTGTCATTCCGCCAATGGATGCATGTCAGGAAGCTTTTACTCCGGAAGCCCAGTCTCTTAGGCCTAGCTGCACTTCCAGTCACTATAAAACGTGTGTGATAGATATCTTGTCTTTGACCTTCTTTAGCTATTTACATTAATTATTATACATCAGCTTTTTTTAAAGTGCCCCTTTGGTAAATTTGTATTTTCTCATTCTGAGCATGCTTTTCACGCAACATGATGTCCTACGGTTACCGAATCCAAACCCATTCTGCTCACCGCACAAACAGGCCAATAAATAGGGAGACAAGGTGTTGGGGCAAGGAATAGTGACTTTATTCAGAAAGTCGGCAGACGGAGAGAATGGCAGACTAATGTCTTGGAGAACCATCTTGCTCCAGTCAGAATCCAGGCTCCTTTTATACAAAAGAACGGGGGGGGTGTGGTTCGTTGTTGCAAACTTCTTGCTGCAGGAGTTCTTTGTTGTTGCAGCTGTCCATGGGGGTCAGGCCCTGGTGTCCCTGTAAACCTCCAACAAAACAAAGGTTGTTCTCCATTTTGCAACTTGCCCTCTCTACATGAGTGCAGAAGTGCTGGCATCCTTAAAGGTCAGCGCTGGGAGAACAGGCTCTCCTGCCTATTTCAGGCTAAAGGCAACATTGTTTCCCAAAAGGTACAGAGCTGGCAAGACTTGAACCTGGAAAACGGGGTGCACATGGTTAAAACCAAACGAACAGATCTAATACGGAGTCAGATCTGTTCTCCCCTGTTACACTACAACATTTACGAAGTAACAAAGGGTTGTCTTTACTCTTTACCACTCATTTCGCTTTTTTCATGCACCTTTGTGGGTTTTCTAAAATTTTTCTTGCGGTTTTAGGTTTTAAAAAGAGAAGGTGAAGGCTGAACATACGTTTGTTTGCTTTGTGCCCGTCTGCAGGACGAATATAAACCAGAGAAGGCCCTGTCAGAAGAAGACTTGAAGAACGCCGTCAGCGTGCACCACGCGCTCGCATCCCAGGCCACGGACTATGAGAAGAAGCCCAACGTGCTCAAGCTTAAAACTGCCGACTGGAGGGTCTTGCTTTTTCAAGCCCAGTGCGTTTCATCGGTTTGGTTTGCTTTGCTTTCTTCAGCTTGCACAGCACCTTCTTATCCCGAGAAACTGAGTCGGGATCTGCAGGGGAAACTTTGGGAGTTGGAGCCAGGGTCGTTAGCTGGTTGCATTAGAGGGACAACTGCCTGAGGAAAGTAGATAAGAAACAGAGCCCTGGGTTCAAGTTCTTTGTTTGCTGCAAAGCAGCCCTGGGACTCTGTCAGCCCCTTACCATCTCTACAACGTGACAGCCTCATGACTGAAATTCAAGGTTCCATCACACAGTGAGTAAAATAGAGCTAGATCCAAATGACCATTTTCAAATTCTTTGTCCTAACGTGTAACGTAACCTCTCTGATGCCCAGCCTGTCACTAGTATAGATGATAAATGTTTTATTTCACAGGGTTCTTGGGCCTCACACAGTGCCCGGCCCATAGAAAGTATTCAACAAGTGCAGACTTTCATTTGATTTCTCTCTCCTCTCTCCTTCTGAGCTGTAAGAGTTAGTGATTAAACTAGAAGGAAAAGATAAAATCACATTGTGACAAGGAAAGGGGATGGTTTGCCAGCTTAAAGGGGTCCATAACAGCCTTCAGAGCAAAAGTGGAATGCTCCACGTGGACAGTTCTGGATTTGTGACGTGA